GAATGCCACGGGCACTCACTGGGATCAGAGGGCTCGAGGAGGTGTTGACACCAGGGCCATCTGAGGTTGGATCCTGAGCGAGAACGGGTGGTCTGGGCGCATGATGGGCATTAGGTTTAGGGCCGTTTGCAATGGGGGGCCCGTGGGATTGCAGGGTGGGCTCCAGCAGGGTGGGCCGTGGTCTGGGAGGATGCCCGCTGACGTGGGCCTCGTCCCGGCAACCATGCTGCAGGCTCTGGGCTGCCAGACCACCCACTCCAACAGGGAGGTGCTGCAGAGCTGCTCCCTCGTCTTCTTTGCCACCAAGCCCCACATCCTGCCGGCTGTCCTGGTGGAGGTGGCTCCTGTGGTCACCACTGAGCACATCTTGGTGTCCGTGGCTGCCGGGGTCTCCCTGAGCACCCTGGAGGAGGTGAGTGGCCTGTCGGGGTGCAGTGGGGGCTGAGGCTCTGACCCCAGGATGGGCTCTGCTGGCCTCCCACCCCTGCCATCCCAGACTGGCTGCAGCCTGGGTCCAGCCCTTCCAGAAACCAGGATGGGTGGGTTGGGGGGCAGACAGCCTCTCAGCCGGCCTGCACAGGCAGCCAGGTGGCTAGGGGGCTGGGGTTAGGGCTCTTCCCACCTGGGGTTAGGGCGCCACGCCCGGGAGGTAGCGGGGAGCCTGCCCTGGCCCGGCGTGTGCCTGCCCGGCAGCTGGATCCCACAGCCGCCCTGATCGCAGCCTCTCTCCCGCCAGCTGCTGCCCCCGATGGCGCGAGTGCTGCGGGTCTCGCCCAACCTGCCTTGCGTGGTCCAGGAGGGGGCCATGGTGATGGCGCGGGGCCACCATGCCGGGAGCGGCGAGGCCGGGCTCCTGCGGACCCTGCTGGAGGCCTGCGGGCAGTGCGAGGAGGTGCCCGAGGCCCAGGTGGACGTCCACACTGGCCTCAGCGGCAGCGGTGTGGCCTTTGTGAGTGTCGTCTGGTCCCCGCACCCCAACCCCTGCCCTCACAGGCCGGCCCTCCCTTGGCAAAGTGGGGCCTTGAGCCCCCCTGACAGCCCCTGACCCCATGGCTCCCCGGCTGGGTCCCCAGCTCCCCATGTGCGCCGCCCACCCCATATCTGTGCCTTCCTGGGCCTTTGAGGCCGGCCCCTTGGCAGAACCCTGGGCTCTGGCCTCGGCTCTGGTGGCTGGTGTGCAGGACCTTGTTCCTGAGGGTCCCCAGCCTTTTGCAGGCTGGGTTCTGTGTCCAAGCGAGTGCTGGCTTTGTCCCCAACCCCCGCTGCTACAGGTGTGTGCCTTCTCGGAGGCCTTGGCCGAAGGAGCCATCAAGATGGGCATGCCCAGTGGCCTGGCCCACCGTGTTGCCGCCCAGACCCTGCTGGTGAGACCCTGCTACCCGGTCCTGGGGGAGTGTGTGGAAGCGGAGGGGGCAGCACGCCTCCTGGGAGCTGTGGGAAGGGAGACGGCAGGCCTGAGCAGCCTGGGCTGAGACGGGGTGGCGAGGGTGGGGGTGGGGCTGAGCCGAGGAGGGGCTGCTGCCCCCCCCCCCAGTCACCCCAATGCCACTTTCCCCAGGGCACGGCCAAGATGCTTCTGCAGAAGGGGCAGCACCCGGCTCAGCTGCGGACTGACGTGTGCACGCCGGGCGGCACCACTATCTATGGGCTCCACGCGCTGGAGCAGGGCGGGCTGCGGGCGGCGGCCATGAGCTCCGTGGAGGCTGCCATCTGCCGGGCCCGGGAACTCAGCAGGGAGGAGGGCGCAGGCACTGGGTGCAGGCCGTGGCCACCCCCCAGCCCCTTCCCGAGGACTCGGGTTCTCTCCAGCCTGCAGGCCAGTGGGGGAGCTGCTTGAGGTGTGGGAGGCTGGGTGGAGGACAGGTCCTGGCCAGCGGGGATCACAGCGGGCTGTGGGCCCCTCTCCAGATCCTGAGCTCGCGGCCAGCAGCAGGTGGAGCTGCTCCTGATGACCCTTCCCTGGGTCAAGAGTCCTGGAGGGTCCCACGGCCTGGCTTCTGGCTGCAGGATTTGGTCCTTAGCATGTCTGTGAAAGGACCAACAGGCCAGGAAAGCCAGCAACTTGGGGCCCTAAGCAAGGACGAGGGGCCTCTGGGTGCGGGGCAGGCTACCTGCAGCCCAAGGCTTACAGGGGCCTCCCCACCCCACACGGGCCCTAGTGCTGGAGCCCCTTCCTTCCACTCGCCAGCTGTGAGGCTCGCGGCAAAGTGATCCCCTGTCTGTGAACAGGGCTTACGGTGGCAGCCTGCCCCTCACTGCCCGCACAGCCCTGAGCCCCCCAACCACTCCAGCCTTCATAGACGGCTGGCCCTCAGCCAGCAACTGTCCGTCTGACCCTGGCCCTTCCACCTGCTAGGAGGCTCAGCCCGAGTCCATTTCGGCACCTTTTCTTTCACTTTTGAATTGGGAATAAAGACGCTGTCCTATAGCACGGAGCAACCAATATTTAACTGGAGGCTGGTAAAACCAAATTCCAAGTGCCTGGAAGCATGTCTCAGCCAAGGCCCAGGATACTGGGCTTAGACTCGGAGCTGTGGGTGCAGGTGGTCTGGGGACAGGGTTTCCCATCACCCGAGAGCTCAGCAAGGGTAGGCTCTCCCTGCCCCCGCCCAGCACTCCAACCTCACCCTCAGCTGTACGTCCATGGGTCCCCGCCATGTATCTTCCGACAGAATCCCTGAGGACCAGGCAGGGCTCGTCTTGGGGAGTGGAAGATGCACCTCTGCCCAGCCCTGCCCTTAGGCGGCGGTCACCTCCTGAATGTGAGGTGTCCAGTGGGGCCTGACCCAAGAATGGCAGCTTGGGGCGGTGGCGAGGGGTGGGGCAGGGTTGCAGCCCAGTCACTGGCCGGCCAAGTCTCTTCACCTTATACTGTGAAGCTAAAATTACTCCTCTCAGAAGCTGGTGGATGTGAGCTTTTTTCATCAATGTTGTCACTTTTCTGTACCCTCCCCACTTTTTCAAATCAGGTGTTCTGGATCCAAGCACTAGACAAGAGTTACAAAAATAAGACTAGAACAGGGATCATGTGACGTTGGCATATCCAGCCTTTATTATAAAGCGTGCTGGGCCCATCTGGCCGGTGACCTCTGCTGTCAGTGAGGTTGGCTGTGAAAGGGTCCCTCGACAGGGCAAGCACCCACAGCCCACTTTAGCACCCTTGCCCCTGGGGCTCTTGGGCCAGCAGGCTGGGGGGGTCCCAGGAGGCCCGAGCCCCTGCTGGAGGGCGCCCCCTTCCTCTCACCCCGCACTCCAGTGCTCCAGCTTCGGTCCAGCTGTCACCTGGGGGCTCATTCCCAAGCGTGAGGCCCCTCGGGCAAGCTTGGCCTCACACGGTTTCCCTCTGATGCTGCAGCCTGGTCTCGCCCTCCCAACCCCCCAGGTGGGCTGGTTTCGGCAGAAGCCACAAGCTCACCTTTCCACCTGCAGTGCTTTCCTGCTGTGCCTACCACCAAACGCACGGGGCCAGCCCTGACAGTAACTGACCAGGGGCTGCCTTTTGGAATCAGTGACCTTTACCGCCTTGAGGATTTGTCAGAGGGCTGTGAACAGGATGGGGAGAGCATGGTGGCTGTGTCCCTGAGCACCTCCCAGGCCACAGGGATCCCACACCCTCAAAAGAGACGTGTAGTCCTTGAGGGCAAGAAACTCAGTCTCCAGCATGGTGCCCAGCACTCTGCAGGTAGGGCTGTTGAAGGAATTCAAGCAGCAACTAAGACCCCTCCCTCGGTGCCATCAACAGCCTTACCCTCCTCAGCACAAACCAGGGAGCGGCTTAGACGCCCCGGGCCCGGCAGGTGGCGGCAGTGAGGCCACTTCACCCATCCTCCTACAGAGCCGAGCTGGCGTCTCCCACGGGAAGCCTCTGCCCTGTGGTTCACGCTGAGGTGAGCCCAGGGAGGTGGGCGACCTCATGCCGGAGCTGCGCTGGGGCCCGGGGTCACGAGGGTCATTGCTGGGGCTGCGTTTGGGGCCAGGGACACGCTCTTCACGTGCAGGGCCCGGTGGCACCAGTGCCCCCGTTCTAGAGAGGACACCGTCGGAGGCCCTTGGGTGAGGGGTAGTCCCCAGCCCAGCGAAGCAAAGCGGCTCCCAGACCCACCCTTGACGGGCCCCCTAACTCTCCAAGGCCCCAGGCCAGCCCGCGCTGCGTCTCGTTCCCGCGCTGCCCATCCAGGGCCTTGGAGACCGGCCAGAGCCACCTCCTGGGGTGCAGCCTTGGTTCTCCAGAGGGGATGAGGCTGGCACCACCTGAGAGGAGGTGGGAGGTCCTGTCCTGATAGCCGGTTCTCAATAGAAACTGCAGTTCCCCCGCCCAGGCTCCGGGGCACGAGAGGGTTAAAGGCTGAGACAGGAAACTTGGCAAGAGGGGTGGTGCCGATGATGCTACCAGAGGCCACCCTCGCCCCGTGCCCACCTGGGCCCTGAGGTCTGTCTCTCCACAGGCCCCTATAGGCGGGCAGGGCAGAGGGCCAGCAGGCTGGCCATCGTGACCAGGAGCTCCAGGCCTGGGTCCCCGGGTCGCCACCAGCTGGAGAGGCAGGTGGTGTAACATGCCAGGACAACCCGAAGCCCCGTGCAGCTGCTTGGTTAGACCCAGGGCCAGCGTAGACCGCCAGAGGCTCCTGCAGGCGTGCAGGCCTGACACAGATGGAAGTGGAGGTGCCAGGTGGGCCCCAGCAGTTGCGGCTGGAGGCTGCTGCCTGGGCCTGGCTAGCCAAGCCTCCCTTCTCTTGTTCCCAAATCCTACATACTGTCCCTCAGCTTTCAGATTTGACATACACATACATATGTGGGTTTTGGGGGGGGTGGTTCCAAGGAACAGTTTACGTCCTTGCTCTGGGGGCGCCCAGCCGTCCTACCGCCGTGCACAGCCCTCCCGTCCCACAAACACAGCACCTGTCTGTGCCCTCTGCAGTCTCAGACCACCAGGAGGATGGGGCAGGTGAGGATGAGGGCAGAGCGCTGAGGCAGGCAGCACCTCAAATCCGGCCCCACTGCCCCTCACAAGAGCTCTGGGTATCTCTGCAGGGCAGCCTCTGGGAGGCCTGGGTGGGTATCTGTCGGCCTCAGGCCACCAGCAGGATCCTGAATCTAGAGCTGGACGGTTACAGAGCCCTTGCCTTCTCCTTACAAACTGTGCCATGTAGGAGCCTAGTTGATGGGGCCACGGGAAGCAGCTCCTCAGCCACGCCTTGGGCAGTGCCAGGGGCGCGGGAGAAGCCTGAGGGCACGCTGCACAGGGGAGCCTTGGAGGGGAGCTAAGGCACTGAGGGTTGTCCTGGCATGGCCGTCAGTGCCGCAAGGCTGCTCCGGGGAAACGGGATGGCTCTGGGCCCTGGGGCTGGACAAAGTGGCCTATGGCTGGTGGGAGCACAGGGCGCTGGCCCGGCCACTGGTCTGTCACCAGGGCCCAGGTCTAGTGCTCGCCAACCCCACGGAACAAGAGAGCTGTTCACAATGTTTTCTTAAGGAAAGTTAAAAATCCGAGTGGAACAGAAACCTACAGCCCTCGCTGCATCCAGAACCTTGGGAGGCCCCGAGTGCCGGGCACCATCCTCCCTTCCAGCCCACGGAGTCCTCCACCCCGGGTCCCTGAAGAGTATCTGTTAAAAACAGACTTAACGCGCTGAAAACGAGTGGTGTGCTTCCCATTGAGACGACCGACCACATGGCTGTGGTTGGGAGGGATGGGAGCGCCGGGCCCTCGTCTGGTACAAGTGCTGGGCGGTGTGGACAGGACCATGGCTGCAGGGCTCAGCCCCACAGGGGCCAGGGTGGGAGCACAGCCACCTGCTCTCTGATAAATGCTGTGGTGTGTGTGTGCCAGGCCTGCGCAAGAGGGCACCTGGCTAAGACCGTAGACCCCACGTGCGCGCCTGCCCAGGGAGGGGAAGCAGGCACCCGCGGCCTCTGTCTGTCCCCACATGAAACGCGGAAACCAGTGGAGGGGACGGCCCTTCACCAACAGAGCTCCTCTGAGCCAGGCTGGGCTGGGATCCCTGCAACCCCAAGCCGGGGGGGAGGCCACCCCAGGGGAGGGGAGGAGAGATGGGGAGGCTGTGTGTATCTCCTCCAAGTGCCGCAGGAGAAAGGCCACTGGGGGCTGCTTGGACTGGACTGGTCACACCCCATCATCAGGGACTGCAGGAGAGGGCCCGATGCCCCCCAGCCTCCGGGCCATGCTGATCAGTGAGCGAAGCTGCACCAGCTTCAGCGGCCCTACCTCCCGGGGGTCCCGGCTCTCCAGCCATCGCAGAGCTGTCTCCAGACCCCGCACGGCCTCCCCAGCGGAGGGCACGGCGGCCTCCTCCTCCTCCTGTCCTCCCGCCGCGACAGAGGGCAGGCTGGCTGGGGGCGGAGGGGCCCCAGGGACCAGCACGGGAGGCCGGCTGGGGCCTGGGTCCTCTCTGCAGCCGTCGGGCAGCCCCCCGTCATCGTCCAGGTGCAGCCACTCGGCCACCTCCTCAGGCGCCAGCCGCTTGTAGGCCAGGGCTGCCAGGTGCGTGAGGTCGCTAAGCACCCTGCTGCGCTCCGCGGCCTCCTCGGCCTGGCCAGCTGGCTGCCCAGCGCACTCCTCTGCCGGCCGGGGCTCAAAGGCAGCCCGCAAACCCAGCAGCCAGCAGCGCTCGATGCTGCCTGCCTGCACCAGGTCCCAGGAGAGGCCGGCCAGGTAGAGCATGTCCTTGAGCATGAAGCTGCGCATGAAGTCCAGCGGGGACGCCCCGGCGCAGGACACGGCCAGCCGCAGCAGCTCCCGCTTGTACAGCTGCTTGAAGGCGGCCACCACCCCCTGCTCCAGTGGGGCCGGGATGTGCGCCCGGCTGCTGCCCTTGGACAGGAACAGCACCCGCACCGCCCCGTCGGGGGTCTGCAGCTCCTCCGGAGGGCCCAGCGGCTCAGGCCGGCACCTCCTGGGGGTCTCCTCGCTCCCCTCCAGGGTGGGCATCCTGGCCGCAGGGCTGGGGCAGGGCGGGTGGGCGACCAGCAGCACAGCCTTCTGCTGCAGGCAGCTGCGGCGCAGGTAACGCCTGACGCCCGGGACGAACTCCTCGAAGAACCAGCCGCGCAGCAGCGGGCGGCTGAGCCAGGCGTCGGGGCTGTAGCGGTAGGAGGCGGGGAACTTGTCCTGGTTGTGGTGGCGCAGGCTGGGTGGGTCCGGCAACTGCCCGATGACCAGCGGCTTCAGCTTGTGGCTGCCGGTCAGGTTGGCGGCCAGCAGCACCGTCACCCGGTCGCCCCGCCAGCGACGGCCACAGCCCCCTGCGCCCGGGGGCGCGGCCTGCTCCGGAAGCAGCTTCCAGTAGAGGCCGGTGACGTTGGCGTTGTAGATCTGCTCGTCGCCGTAGCCGCCCTCGGCGGGGGCAGGGGCATTCAGGGCGCGGTCGGGCAGGGGGCCGGTGCGGGGAAGCTGCGCGGCCTCCTGCTTGACCGGCAGGCCGGGCGCGGGGCCGGCGGCCGGGGGCTCGGCCTCGCCGTAGATGCGCTGGCTGGAGATGCCGTGGCGCTTCTGCCAGCGCCAGAACCAGCCGTGGCTGGCCTTGAAGGTGCACTCGGGCCCGTAGATCTGGCGCGCGAAGGCCTCGGCCTGCGCTTGGATGAGCGGCCCCGACAGCGGCACGCCGTGCTGGCGCAGCGCCAGGAACCACGAGTAGACGGCGCGGTCGATCTCCTCCTCGTTGGCTAGCCGCATCTTCTTGCGCTGCGTGCCCACCTCGCCGCCCAGCTGCTCCAGGAACCAGCGCAGCTTGGGCTCGTCCTTGAGCCAGCCGCGCAGCGTGCCGCCGGGCACGCCGAAGTCGCGGCACACGCTGGCTTGCCGCTCGCCGCCCTTGACGCGCTCGATGGCCTGCAGCTTGTCCTTGATGGAGTAGGCCTTGCGGAAGGCCATCTTCACAGCCACGCGGGGCCGCGGCCCGGGCGCGGGGGGCGGCGGCCGCGCAGCGGCGACCGGGGCGGGCGCGGGGGGCCGCGGCGACTGCGCAGGGCGCCCGGGCGGGGGGCGGCGGCCGCGGCGCGGGGCCGGGCCGGCCGGGAGTCCCGCGGGGTACATGGCTGCTGCTGTGGCTGCGGCGGCAGCGGGGGCGCGGGAACCGGGGCCATACGCCCGCCCGGCCGGCCGCGCTGGGCGGGCGCTGGGGGCGGGACCGGCCGGGCCCTCCCCTTTGTCTCGCCCGCTCGGCGCGCGCAGGCGCGTTGGCCCCGCGCGGCCCCACCCCGCGCTGCACGTCACCCGGCACGTGCCGGCCGGTCTGCTCCGCCCGGGCCCGCCGAGTCCACCGGAGCTGCAGCGGAGGGGGGCGGGAGCCGGCGGCGCTGTGCCCGGCGGGTTGCTCCAGCTCCTCCGGGAAAGGGCGAGCCCCGCGGGGATCTGCCACTGTCTTCTATCCTCGCACCCTCGGGGAGCGTCGCGCGGAGGGCCCAGGCAGCGCAGCGGGCCGTGCGCGCGGGCCGCGTCCCCCGCGTCCCGGCGCGTGGTAGAGTCCGCTGCTTCATTTCCCGTGCGCGGCCAGCGCGGCCCTCCCTTTTCTTTGCCGTCGCGCGCCGCCGATCCCTCCTCGTTGGTAGCGGCGTCCTTGGCTGGCGTGTGAGTACCGCGGGTTGCGCTGCCAGGCCCCGGGGACCGGGGAAGGGACGGCCCGCGCTGCGCCGGCAGGGATTTGGTTGGAGAGCCGCCGGCAGGCCGGCTCCGGGGCGCGGGGCCGGGTGCGGGCTCGCGGCGGCGCAGAGGGGCGGAGCCCGCGGGCCACGTGCCGGCCGGACCCCTGCGGCTGCCCCGGCGGGAGGGCGGCTGCGGGAAGGTCGGGGCCGCGCCGACCTCCGCCCCGGTGGGTGACAAAGATGTCTGCCCACCTGTGACCCGGGCCTGTAGTCCCCCCCTTTCTTTGTCGACGTTTGTGGAGCACCTGCCTCACGTCGGCTCTGGGCTTGGGGGACAGGCACGCACCCAGTCTTCGTGGAACCTGGAGAGCTCATGAACTCGGGGAAGAATAAGGATGTGATTGCTGGGTGACTGAAATACAGCGTTCTCTGAGAGGGATGGAGGGTCTGGATTTGGATAAGGTGATCCGGGCAGGAGGCGATGTCGAAGCCGCTCTTTGAAGGGGAGGAGGATACTTTCCTGAAAAGTGGGCACTTTCAGTGGAACGAAGGAGGGAAAGGCTTGTCCTGGAGCCAAGGGGGTGGAATGGGGCAGGGACCAGCACGACAGGGTTTTCAGAGTGAAGGGCCACCCTGGAGCAAGAGAGCTGTTTGTGTGGCTGAACTTTGGGGTGGTCCCTGCTTGTCACGAGAGCAGATTGACCTTGGCAAGTAACTGGTGAGGGAGTAGGCCTGGACTGGGTCGGGGAAGGACCCGGTCTTGCCTCAGCAGCAGCTCTGACACCCCTAGCTCCTAGGGAGCCCTCAACCATAAGTGGGTTGAGCCCCACCCCCGTGCTCAGCTCCAGACGTAGGTGTTCCCTGAGAAAGCTTGGCATGCAGACTCCGAGGAGCAGGTGCCCTGTGCCATCTCTCCGGGGCAGTCAGGCCTGGGCCCTGTGCCAGTGCAGGGGTGCCCTGCAGCTCTCCATCTCCTCACCTTGGAGCGCGGCTGCTGTGCCTTCCCCTAGAGGAGCCTGGGGGGCAAACATGCTTGACCAGTGTTTTTGTGAATGAAGGTTTCTTGAAGGTGATCCTAAATAGGCGGACACGATGTCTCCAGTGCGTCGCGCTCTGGTGTCAGCTTTTCAAGGGCTGCAGGCAGGAAATGCTGGCATGAGACCTGGCTCTGTGTCCCTATTTGGAGATGGCGCGTGTGAATTTGAAGTGGGGGGCAGTGTGACATTTGTGTGAGGGACAGGCATCAGAATCAGACACGGAGTCTCAGATTCTCACCTCACTGACCCGGAACCTCAGTTTACCCCACTTCCGTCTCCCAGCTGTGTGAGGTGTCACGTGTACTCAGAATGGTTGAGGAGGCACGTGCAGTGCTGGAGCCGCCCTAGGGAAAGGGGCACAGGCACCTGGTGGTCAGGGTAGATAGACCAGGGCACCACAGACTGGGATAGAAATAGAACCAACGGCCATGGCATTGTAGCACAAATGTCGTGCAGCTGGCTGGGCCTCAGGTGGGGTGACTTGGGCAGCCGCAGTGTGAGTCCTGAGTCTTGGGGTGCAGGGGCCCCCCCCCTCCACGCCAGCAGGACAGGTTGGCATTTTTGAGTGGGGCTGGACTGTCCAGGATTCAGAGGTGGGGAAGCTTCTGAGTAGGAATTTGGGGCTGTGGAGTTCGCCTCTAAAGAAGAGCAGAGAGCATCACTCTCGTGCAGTTGCCCCACTACTGGCTTGTTCTCATCGGCTGAAGCGTGTTGAGTGCTCGCCGCGTTCTCTTGGACATTGCACGCATGGAAGCTCTATCGTGCAGCACCGGTCCAGGCTGCGCCAGCCAGGGGCCCCATCTCCCCACACCGCACACCGATTCCCACTTCCTGTGGAAGGGAGGCAGAGAGCTGTGACCTCTGGATGGATAACCTGGGAGCCCCTGCGTGTGTGTGGCTGCGATGGGGTCACGTGGGCACCTGGTTACCTGAGACTGTTTGGAGGATGAGAACGAGGTGTGGAGGATGGAGCCGGGGGAGGGGGCTAGCCTCACCCCTCCCAGAAACCTTCCCCATTCACCCAGCCTCACAGGGACCTCTTGGCAGATTGGTGGGCACGGCTCTGCCAGGCCATGTTTTCACCTTCAGGATCCTCCAGCCAGGAGTATCCTGGTCAGGGAGTGCTGCCAGGTTCCCTGTACTGGCACTGCAAGAACTGCCCTCCCAGCTGGGCAGAGGCTGAGAAGGACTCCGCAGCCCCCAGAGTCCCTCAGCACAGCCAGGAGTGCTGATTCGCAGGGCACTGGGCTGGGGGAGTTGCAGAGGGAGAGCTGCTCGCTGCCTTCGCCCCAGATCCTGGCGGCTGGTGGGCCGTGATCCCTCCGGGGGCCCCCTGTTAAGGGAGTAGTCTTGACATGCTCTACGCCCTAGGGCCGGTCCTTAGTGGCAGGCGGCTTGCTCTTGGTCCTGCAGGTGAGGAGGACGGGGTGGGACCGCTTCCTCTGCGTCCTGGCTCTGCTCCCTGTGCTCCAGTGTTGCGGGGGTCGGGGGGTGGGCCGCTGCTCCTGTAGGACGCCCGGCCCCTCGCCGAGAGTTCTGTGCTTCCCTGGTGGCGTCCTCGCGGGAAAGTGTTCAGACTCAGAGTGGTTATTCTACTGGGAGAGGTGGGCCGCTGCCTCTGACGTCGGGGGCTGTGCCGGCTGTCCTGGGACCTCATCCTCCAGCAGCCCTGTGGGTGCTCTTGGCCCCATCCTGGCACTGGCTTTACCAGGCAGCCCTCAGCTGTCTGTGATCGCCTCCCCAGGTGACAGCGCTCCTGTGTGGTGTCTCTGGGGAGTCTTCCTCCCGCCAGAGCCTTGCCGCACGCCCCCTCTGGGAACCTCACACGCTAAGAAGCCCCTATGGTGGGTGTCTGCGGAGAGCCTGCCTGGGACCTCCGTGCACGCCTGTCTCCTGCCTGCTAGCCTCTGTTTGCCCCACAGGACACCTCTTGCACCCTGTCCTGGGGTGACTTGATGCTGGCGCGCTGGCCGCGGTGTGGGGTAGACAGGGGAGGCCGGGGGCCTAGGTGGCAGGGCTGACTGGGTCCTCAGCTCCTGGTTGCCACCTCTTGTGGATTCAGGGCCGGGCACCCGTCTGTCCTCCTGTGCACCCTTCAGTGCCAGCCTGCGGGGACGGCGCACCCTGCCCACCTGGCCTCTCGCCCCCGTAGTGGCCCTGCTGAGGGAGAGGCCTGTCCGGCGTGGGCACGGGCTGGGTGGCCACCAAGACCTTCAGCCAGGTCCTTGTCGTCCTACACCTGGTCCAGCGGTCTGGACCCAGTGGCGGTGCGGGGCTGGGGAGAGCCCACCCAGCACTGATCCACGTGGGCAGCGGGGCACTCGAGGTGCTGGCTCACCTCCCCAGGTTGGCTCAGCTCAGCGAGGAGCTCAGGTGGGGCCTCCCAGGGCTGCCTGGCTCCGGCTAACAGGAACCCCAGGATCTGCCCATTTCGAGTGATGAAGGAGCAGCGCCGCCCTGAGCGCGGACTCGGCCGCCCCCTGGGGTTTTGGTGGTGGGCCTTTGCCCCGGTGCTCGCCTTTGTTCCCCAGCAAACTCGCCTCCGCGCCGCCTCACCGAGCAGCTTGTGAGAAGGCCCCCCAGCTTGCTCAGGCCACCCTGTCTGACTGCCTCTAACTTTGCTGCTTTCTCTTCATGCTGTCCTAGGAGATCAAAGCGAAAGTAAGTACTTGCCCGTCCCAGGCTCCTGTGTCCCCTTCACCCGAGCCAAGGGACCCCCAGCCCAGCCCTCACCACGTCCGGCGAGTCCTGACACCTCTGGGGCCAGGCTGCTGGCCTCGGTTTCCTTGTCTGGACCTGTTGGGTGTGGCCTCAGCACCTTCCTGGGCTGAGCCAGTTCCTGCCCCGGCAGTAGGGTGGGCACCCCGTGAGCAGGTCAGGACTGGCGTGCACCCTCCACACCTCTGGGCAGGGCAGGGTGCCGCCGCCCCAGCCAGCCCCTGGTCTCAGGCCCTGTCCCTTGCTCCCGGGCATCTTGAGAAGGGGCCTCCCCTCCCCCGAACTGTGACCCTTAGAGCTCTGAGCAGAGCCTGGTTTGACGTCAGGAGCCGAGGCCACTAGGTTCACGTAGGGCTTCCGCACTGGGGGGTCAGCCTGGTGGGCAGGGCTGAAGGGGCCAGACTAGCCCTTACCCGCGCTGCTCTGCTTTGGTGAGGGTCCGCCAGAGAGGTCAGAGGGCAGACAAGCCCAGCCTGGTAGGCCTGCAGCCCTCTGTTACAGTGAGTAATGTCACAGTGCCCCGCCTCCTGGGCATGGGCTCCCGCCCCCCAGCACTGCCTCTGCAGTCAGCCTGGCCTTGGTAAGTGCTGCTGGCCCGGGGAGGGAGGCTCAAGGGGGTGGCCAGGGACCTCTCTGAGCCTGGGCCTCCGCCCCTGCATCGGGTGCCGTGAGAGACCCCGGCGAGCCCCTCAGAGCACAAAGGGGAGTCTCCCTGAAGTCCCAGATCGGTCGGGACTTGGCCCACATGTCCCGGGGTGATTGGAATTGGGTTTTGGTTTTGGTCGGGGGGCTGTGAGGGAAGGGCTGTAGACCCTGCGGTGAGTGGCAGGAAGGGTTTGCTGTCCCGGGGTGAAAGTCTGCCCCCTCTGGGGGCCTCCTCCCTGGGGTGAGGGCCCAGCAGGTCTGCCCTCGCTTAGGCTCCACCAGGTGACCTCGCAGCAGCAGGAGACGCTGGAGCCATCCTGAGGGCAAGCTGCTTAGCCCCAGGCAGTCGGCCTGGTGCTTCTGCTCCTGGGCGGGCACAGGGTCCAGAGTAGGGTCTGAGGGGAGGAGTCCCTGTGCTAGCTAAGGCCATTCTCTAGAGCCGTCCTCTAGAACAGGCCAGCCAGGTGTGAGCTCGGGGACCCCTAGGTGCACCCTAAGAGCAGACTGGCCTCCAGGGCTTTCTGGGCTTGAGTTGCTTCTAGCCAGAGGCTGCGGTGGCCCAGGCCCCTTGGTTCTGCTGAATAGGGTTCGCTGTAGAATTCTGGGCTGCCCAGCAAGGGGGCTAGCCTTTACGGGGCACCATGCCCGGGAGCAGAATAGGGGGCCCTGTGCCAGTGGCAGGGCCGAGGCCATCGCCTCGTGGCTGTTTGTGCACGCCCTGTGGCCCAGCAGCCCTCAGTCTTGCACGGGGGCAGCAGGTGACGAGGGCTACTCTGAGCTCAGGCTTCTGGACAGAGGCTTATCCAGTAGCCACAGTGGCAGGTGTGCGGAGCCCCTTACACCAAAAGGCGCTGGAATGCAGGGAGGATCCCGCGTCCTAGGACAGGACTCGGAGGTTCCCACATGGTCCCTTTAGTTTAGGTGCACCCACGGGCGTGAGTTGATTGTCTCCTGGTCAGGAGGCATCGGCCGCTGACCAAGGAACCTGATTCTTAACTGCCAGAGCCACTGGCTTTCTTCCCTTTTAGACACTCACTCCCTGGCATCTCTCCTGATGTGGCCTCACAGGGGTGGGCGCTCCACCCTCTGCTCCCAGGTGCCCCTTGGCTAAGATCTTCCAGCTTCCCTTGGAACATGCACTGCTCAGGATGGCGGTGTGGCCGTGCAGGTGGGGGACTCAGGTCAGGCAGAATGCGCCAGGAGCGGGGCCATCCTCTGAGACCACCAAGTGCATTTCTATAAAACAGAAACCTGAGTGCCTCAGGTAGGTGGCCAGGCTTAGCAAAAACACAGGACGTCCAGTTAAAGTTTCAGATGAACGGCGACTAACTTTTCAGAATAAGTGAGTCTCTAATGTTTCACGGGACACACTTGTCGCAAAACTCATTTGACGTAAAAGTTGAATTAGCAGAGTGCGTCCGGTGTTTATTTGGCAGCTGTTCTTGGGGTTCACCGAAGAGGTTCCTGTAGCCAAAGAGGTTTGGAAAGTGTTCTCTGGGCCCCCTTGGCAGCCTGGGTGCATGTTGGATGAGATAAGACAAGTTTTGCGGTTAGGAGGATGCACATGCGCAAACACACCACGCATTACGTGCTCGTGCGTGTTTACTGCTCCCCCAGCTCCCCGTGCATGCTGCCCCGGGGCACCCCATCCGGGCGGCCGAGCCGGGAGGGGCGGGGGTGCCGTCTGCCCACGGCCCGCGGTGTTGCAACTGCCCTTTGTGCTTGCTTTTTAACGCTGCGTGGAAGATGAGCGGGGAGGCCTCCTGTGTCCTGGAGACGGTCTGGGAAGACAAGCAGAAGTGCGGGGAAGCCGAGCGGCGCGTCTGCGAGCACGGGGCCATGAGAGCCGCCGCCCAGCAGCTCCCGGCCGAGCCACTGGCAGTGAACGGGCCGGGCCGGGAGGGCGAGGCCGAGGAGGCGGCCGCCCCCAACGGCAACGGCAGCAGCGAGCCCGGGCAGAGCCACAGCGGGAAGAAGCCGTGGCAGAAGCCGAGGAAGCCCCCCCCCAGGGGCTGGCCCAGCCAGGGGGACCTGGCCCTTGAGGGCCTCTCAGCCGACCACGTCTGGCTGGACAAGCTGCTTTTCGACCAGGCGGAGAGCTCGTACCGCCAGAGGCTGGCAGATGCGGCCGCCCAGGCAGCCCGGCCTCCCGCCCTGGCCCCTGGGGCCCTCTGCGCCCTCGGAAGCCAGGTGGCCTGCCACCACGTGACCTGGGGCGTCTGGGTCAACAAGTCTTCCTTTGACCAGGCTGAGCGGGCGTTCGTGGAGTGGTCTCAGGCCTTGCTGCTGGCCGCGGAGGGGAGCGGCGGGCAGGGGGCTCCCGACACGGGCCAGTGGGCGGCCGCTCCCGACCTGTGCCTCATCCGCCAGCCCAGCCCGCCAGCCGACGGCCAGCCCCCGCTGGGCAGCCTGCAGGCGCTGGTGCGGGAGGTGTGGCTGGAGAAGCCCCGCTACGACGCAGCCGAGAGGGTCTTCTACGAGGCCCTGTTTGACGGCCACCCCCCTGGGAAGGTGCACCTGCAGGAGCGAGCCGGTCAGGCTGAGGGCGCCCGGCGCGGCCGCAGAGACCGGCGGGGCCGCAACGCCACGGGAAGCCGGCGGCTCGGGCCGCGGCGGGGGGACGGGGAGGCCTCCTCTGCCCTGCCCTACCGGTGCTTCCTGCACAAGGACGCCGAGGCCCCCTGGCTCAGCAAGCCGGCCTACGACAGCGCAGAGTGCCGCCACCACGCCGCCGAGGCCCTGCGCGCGGCCTGGCGCCTCGAAGCTCCGTCTCTGGTTCACCGACCCGGCGCCCGGTCTGGCCCTTCCATGTCCAGCCTGAGACCCAAGTAGGGAAAACGTGCCGGGCGGGTGCCTGGGCTTCCCCGGGCCGGGCTGGGTGGCCGGCGTGTTCCCTTCCCTGCCCCCACCCCAGCGGGGCTCCTCCCAAGACTCCTGGACCGGCTGAGTTGGAAGCTGGCTCGGGTCGGGCAGGGATAGCTACCTGCCCCTGGGGCATTGCAGCCTCTGGGGTCACCCCTACCAAGTTGGTTGAGGGAAGGGGTCCACGTGGGCCTGAGTCTGTCTCGCGCAGGGTTTCCCCTTTGGCCAGGCAACTTCCAGCTTCTCCCCTGACTCATGGGACAGGGGAGCAATGAAGGCTCCCGGCCCCCAAGCCCCACTGGGCCGCTTGCCTACCTGTCCTGCTGTCTCCCCCATCTCCTTGTCCAGAACCACCTGAGGTGAGGTGGGCGTCTCAGGTCCTCTAGCACACGGCCGGTCCAGCGGCCTGAGTCTGGGAGACACCCACTGGATGAGGCCAACTTGCCTTCAGCCTGTGGGCCCAGGGGTCTGGCCCCCAGAGCGGTTTTATGCAGTGCCAGCTGGTCGCTGGAGGCCAGAGCCTGGCCATGGAAGGGATCCCTTAGCGCACTGGGCTCAGGCAGGAGGGCAGAGACCGTTGGACTCAGGGCAGACTGGGGGCCCCCCAGTGGGGAGAGGCCCTGGGCCGCAGGCGGGGCCAGAGGGGACGTGGAGGGGCCTCCCTGGACCCCAGACTCCCGGCAGGAGCCCCTCGGCTCCTCGGTGGGGTTGGGTGTGCTGCTTTAACGGGATCCTGGCCTTGCTGCGAGGGGCAGGGTGTGGGGCCCACCGCCGAGGCGGGGGGGGCGTTCCCCGTCAGGCAGTACGTGTGCGTGCGGGGGGGCGTGTGGAACTGAAACTGTTCAGTGATGCCTCTTCGAGGTGGGGTGGAGGGGAGTCACAGGGCCCAACGTCCCTTGTCACACGGGGGGGACACCCGGCGAGGTCCAGTGATGTCCTGGGATCCTCAGCAGAGAGAGTTGGTGAGGTTGGGTCCTTTTCTGTTGCACTTGGTGAGGGACAGGGCGGTTCTGAGTCAGCAGACTTTGTCATCTGTGAGAATTCGGGCTCTGGGCCCAGGTCTGTGGCAGCTCCCCCACCTTGCCGAGCGGTGGGAAAGCAGCAGACTGCAGACGTGCCAATACAGCGATTTGCAAAAACGGACAGTGGCGGGATCTGGCTCACAGGCCGGAGTTTGCCAGGCCCTGGTCTAGAGCAGCAGTTCTCAAACTTGCTGGTCTTGTGATGCTAAAAGAGCTTTTGTTTTGTCTATTAGTTTCTCCTATATTAGTAATTAAATGCAGAAGCACTTATTTGTTGAAAAATGATAACAAGCTTATTACATGTTAGTGACATTTATGCAAGAAATAACTTTCCTGTAACAAAAAAGTTCAGTGAACTAAGTGACCTTGTTTTACATTTTTGCAAATCTTATGTCTGGCTTAATAGGAGGCAGCTGGATTCTTAAACCTGCTTGTGCATTATCTGCTGGTGTATATTGTCCGACAAATCTAGCCTTGAACAGTTGTGTGATTGGAAAGGGGAGGACCTTGGGGACCCCCAGAGGTTCCTGGCCATGCTTTGAGAGCCGCTGGTCTTGGGGACTGGCCTGGGGACCACCCGCCGCAGCACTGAAGGAAGCCCACATGGGGTGGGGGAGGGGCTTGCAGGCTCGTTGTGGTCAGTGTTGAGAACCTCTGGTGCTCTGCCCTGGGCCCTGGAGCCCTTGTTACCCAAGGACCGGGACGGTCTGCCCTGCACCCTTGGGGTCCAGGCTGTCGGAAGGGGCGCTTGTGCAAGCCAGCCCTGGGGTCTGCGAGGAGGTGCCCCCTCCTCCCGGCCAGGCTGTCTTAGTCTCTCCTTCCCTCTCAACAGGAAAATGGCCACAAACTTTCTAGTGCACGAGAAGATCTGGTTTGACAAGTTCAAATATGACGATGCAGAAAGGAAATTCTACGAGCAGATGAACGGGCCCGTGGCCGGCTCCTCATGCCAGGTAGGGGCTGCTGTGCTTGGGGTCTCGGGTTGTCTGTGCCAGCACAGTGGGACACGGCACGTTGGGCCCAGGTGGCCCTGCTGCAGGTGCTGGGCTTGGTTCTTCGGAGGGCGGCTGGCTGGCTCCCGAGGAGCTAGAGCTGCTCTTGTGTCACATGTGGGCAGGGCGCTCCCAGCGTCTCTAGGTGCCCATCAGGACCTGCGACACGTGGCCCTGCTGGGCTTGCAGGCCACGTGCACCTCAGGCCCTGTCGTCAGGGCCACAGGACTCCATCCTCTTCCGTCCTCAGGCCCGTGAGCTTTTGTCTTGTGCAGGGCTTTCCTGCCCTCTCCACACGAGGCTGCCTTTTTTAATTTTTTTTTTTTTTTTTTTTTTA